CAGTAAGCCTGGACCACGTGGGACCCATGCAGCTAGATGGGCAGAGTTGGTGGCTCCTAGTTGTGGTGGACCACGCGACGCGGTACATGGGAGCGTGGATAACGAGCACGGTCACAGCTGCGCAGACGGCTCACATCTTCTTGCGGGGCTGGGTGACACCGTTCGGTGTTCCGCGAGTGGTTTTGACGGAAAACGGCACGAGCTTCAGGGGGGCGTTCCATGACATGGTGGCTGGCGCGTTGGGCTGCGTCCATCTGACGACGGCAACATATAGGCCGCAAGGGAACGGCATCCACGAAGCCTCCCACAAGGCGCTCAGAAGCGGGTCCAAAGCGCTGTGGCAAGAAGGACACCGCGACCTGGGTAGGATGGTGGCGGCGGTCTGTCGCACGCACAATACGACACCGCACATCAGCACAGGTGTGACGCCGTACGAGGCCTTATTCGGAAGACCACCGTACTTCGCGCGGTTGCAAGAGGTAACCGGCACAATGACAGAGGAGCAGAGGAGCAGAGGAAACAGAGCCTGGCGGCACAGATGCGTGAGAGGTTGCAAAGGGCCATGCTCGCAGATAGGCCGATCGAGGAGCCGGGCGCGGATGACCTACGGGTAGGAGAAGTAGTAGTAGTCTCGATGGAGCCAGGGTCACATGCAGACGCCAGGGGAGGACCGAAGACACCAGCTTGGGCGCACACCGCGTGGTCGCTGCCAATGAGGGTAACAGAGTTGAGGAAAACGCAGGTGGTGGCAGAAAGGTGCGACGTGCCGGGGTGGAGGGTCACGGCTCACAAAGACCAAGTGAGAAGGTTCAAGCTGAGCGCGGATCCACTACTGCGGTGGGCGACACAAGAGTACGTCTCAGGGCAGCGCGAGCTGGAGGAGCAGGCCGAGAACGGGCGGGGAACGGCCGACGTTGGCATGAGGACAGAAGCCAACTGGGATGAGTTCTTAGGGATGGTACAACCCTTCAACTGAGAGGCCGAGGGGGCGTGTTGGTATGTCAGTGGGCGAGGTCGGCCTTCAGTTGTTATGTCTCGCCCGCCGAAGCTTTTTGTCAAATAGTGAGAGTCAGAAACCGCAGCAATGCAAGTTACCACAACCTACACCGAGGACTCTCCCACGACGGAAGCAGCACCACGTCA